CAACTACGTCAGTGTACCTGACCACCCGATCCCGTTAGTCGCATGGATTGATGAAGACCAGTTCTAACCCAGATCTTCATGGTTTGTTTCTTCTTCATTGCGATGAGCACACAATATACCTATTGCTATCTGGACCTTGGGAATGATTCTTTCAAAAATCGCACACAATGCTTTTGTTTGCGGAAACAGCTTAATGATTAAACACTGATTTAAAGTATCTGAAATTACTTTGTTGTCAATGATCTGGTTTCCATAAGATTAAAACAAGACATTTTCAGAAATTAAAACCCTAAAGTGTTTAAGTTTATGTTTGAGAGCTGTATCAGAATATTCAGCATCGATCTCCGTAGGCATAAGGGGTACGGTGACACACCTGTTTATGCAAGGTGTACTACAGGTAGGGCATGGCCTGTTTACCCTGGATACGGTGACACACCTGTTTATGCAAGGTGTACTACAGGTAGGGCATGACCTGTTTAAGCAAGGTGTTCTACAAAGGTGTCACAAACACTTGGTGTCATCACTGATTTTCAGTGATCCGCTCTCTTAAGTTTCATCACTATTTTGCCTCTTGACTTATACTATGTTTTCCAAGTGAAATTGTTACAATGTACATCATTAATATGTGGAATGTATCTGTGTCAATATCTTTGTACCTATTGTGTTAATATATGTAGATGATATAATATTGCCACTGCTCCTTCATGGAATGCTATGTAATAATATCTTATCTCACCCTATCTTGACCAATGGTTTTGCTTGACCAGATAACTGAGACTTGTATTCTCTGGCGTTAATGGTTTATATCATCGTGTTGATGATTATGAGCGCATGAGATCTTTGTCGGGATCGAAACAAGTATTTTATGTGCCCATCACACACTACACAAATAGAAGTGAACATCACCCAAGCACCAGAAGCAGCAACAGCAACAACAACAGCAACAACAGCAGCAGCAACCACAAGTCAACAATAATAATTATCTCAACAGTATTTATTGAGATTATTTGACAACAATAAAGGCTGATTATCGTCGATATTTACAATATCCTTAAGTTCATGTTCCATGGTGCGCTAGTTACTACATTTGACTTGGTGTTAAGAGTGAAAGGTTCTGGAGCACGCAGGATATATCACCGACCCAGTAAGTTACCGAAAGTTCCAGAATAGAACCTCCCGGGACCTTCTTCAATATAAAAAAAGTCTCGTCCCCGTCATTTCCCATTACAAGCAGGCCAGCAGTTGTGCGAAGAATACGTTACACCTCTTTCACATCATATTGCCTTCGTGTGTGTCCTGCTAATGAATTTGTACGTCTCCTGTATTTTGTACAGTCATTTCATTTCCTTTGTAGATTTCTTCAGTTATTTCTTAACTTTGTTAATTTTAGAGTACAACTGTCAATTAAACAAACATTGTTGGTTTCAGAATGTATTGTGATCACCAGGCATTAGGTAGGCAGATGGAATCACTCTATAGAGCGTTGAGAAACTATTTCACACATTCAAAGCAGTACAATAAAATAACAGACAATTGCTGCTAGAAGATGAGATGTGAATCAAGCTGCATGTTATTATTAGGACAGGTTCATTCAATAGAAACAATAGACTATAGAACATGAAGTTACATGATGTACACAAAGTTACTTCCATTAGAAGCGACATACACATACACATGCAGTTTCGCATTTCAGTTATCAATTTTAAGCATGCTCATTGATGTTGAATTGCTTTGTACATCTCTAGGGTGAAATCAACAAGGAGAGGCATTTTGTTTTTAATTATGTTTCATGATTAAAGCTTTCAAGTATTAGGTTGTTTTGTCGTCTGACGACAACTGTCATCGATGTCCATTCAGTTTATATTAGAACCACATGAAGTACAAATGCAGATTAGATGGATGCTGTGGTTAGTATCACCCATTTGGGTAGATGTATTTACAGTTTCATCGCCAGCCTACATGCAACTTTCATATTGGGATACTGAATATGAAACCAGGTATGTTTCCACCCAGAGCTGTTGTCTGTGTATTGCCATGCCCGGAGTCTGAAAACGTGAACCGAACCCCCTCAGTGGTTACAGTCTTCTTTCCAAACTCGCCCCCGCAGCCTTCCTGAACCCCGAAAGTCACATGGCGTCCTGATCTCCGTTTCCCCATCTTGCAACTCCTGGGCCTCTGAACCACGTAAGACCCCTGACCCAACTGAAAACCGTGAGCACCGTAACCCTCGTCATTGTAATCTATGTCCACATACACAGTGTAGGTGAGGCCTTGTTCCAGTGGTACCGACTCAGGGAACAGGATGTCAGTCAGGTGCCCACGTCCAAGAAGCTTCACCTTGGTGTATAGTAGCGGTGCAGGTATCAGTAAGTCATTTAGCTCAAACAGTGAAATACCCACTGGAACCTCCATGTCATCATATCCACCGTAAAGCTGACAACCTTTCAGCTGAATCCTGTGATCGACAGAAAACGAGAGAGCATGGCGTCCTGATAAAGTCCACTTTTCATCTGACACAGCTGCAAATCTTTGAACGTATTTACAAATGTCAGGTTCCTGTATTTGCTTTCTCTTAACCCTACAAATGGGGAAATGTCAACAGTAGAGTCAATAGATCTGTCCATAATTTTAACTCTCTCATCCACTGTCAGTAATCCAGATGGGCCCACAACCTTCACCAGATACTCCAGGGACAGGCTGGTAAACCGGATGTCATACCTCATGTCACCCAAGAGTCTTCGTCTGTTCTTAGGCGTGTCACTCACACCTTCCGTCCGGCATCGTTCCTTTGTCCAGGACAGCACTGCGTCCAATGCATCTTCCTCTTTCAGGTTCAGTGTGTCCGATTTCAGGAACTTCCCCAGACAATCAGAGCAAAGACCCACAAATCCTGGAGACTTGGTGACTCTCTCCCCTCCTTCTGTCAGGATCTTCAGGGCCTTCTGTTCCAAGTCCAGCTCCCCGTAACCATGACACTGCTCCAGGATCTGGCAGACATTGTCTTGTGACAGGGACTCCTTCAGGAAAGTTACACAGAGATCGTACAATACATCAAGAGAGTATTTTCCTGGATGTGTACATTAGTCCGGTGACTGTTTCAGCATTGATTCGAGCCTCGTCTGTGTACAAATACCTACAATAAATCATAATGGTTCAGTTGGAGACAAAACGTTTTCTTGTTAATCACCGCTCTTTGTAACATTACTTCTCATAAATATTCAGAACGTTAAGCATGTCATATCGGGGAGGATGTGGGTGATAAAGATGGAGGGGTAATGTTTCTGTATTTTCAGCAACACATTCTTCAATACTTCCAGCTTGGCTATGGATAATATTGGTACATGCTTTGTTCCTTGATTTGAGCTAAACTGAACTTCAGCTTGATATTCAACAGTTTTGCCAAAAAAGACATAAAGGGTGTGCAGCTGCTAATGTAGTACGTCATAAACTATACTCTCCTCAAATAATAAACGCCCTGGTGTATTTTCACGAACTTAATCAGCTAACTAATAAGTGAGATAACACATGTAATTCTGGATCTGTTGCACCCACATTTCACAGTATAAATGCTACAATGTCTGTTCACATGTATAGAAGGGCTGGGACAGGTCCATATTTTCTATCCGGGTATCCCACCCCTATTACCCTATCCTACCCGGATACCCGTTATGTTTATTCCTGACATGGAATTGGTAAGAAATGGCAATACATGTATATTCTTCAGCTCGGAAGTTAAAATTTCGGATTTGTCAATATATAAACCATGCATTATATTCAAAACAGGTGATTGTAACTTACAACCTTTTAATCATGAAAGAATAACTTATCATAGTGTTTAATCTATTAGTCACAACGGCTTGTGATGTGTGAGGCCTGTCGTTATCTTGCTGGATCAACTCCCTCTGGCGGTCAGTGATCGGGACCAAGTGAATTCTAAAGATTTCGTCTCTGTACCGAATTTGGAAGCGCACGAAGTTAGATTTCTCTGTGCAGGATATGACTTTCCACATCATGACTCTCTCACCATCATATCGAAAAACGTTCATTTCGACGTCAACAGCCACGTACTCTTCCGTCACGGCACAGAAGCAGAAAGCGTGATTCGTTACTGAAATATACACGTGGCCAGTTTTATAGATTCAAGATTCAAACGATATTGAATCACTAGACCCGTCGATGTAGTCGTCGCACCACAGGGCTACCACAGGGTCTTCTGGCTCGAAGTCCAGCTTCTCGTATATGATTACGAATGGTTTGCGCCGACACTATCCTTAATCGATTCCGCAAATGAAATATCCTGATGTACCTATCCTGCGCTGCAGTGGTATCTGAGGGTTTGCTTAGAATTGGCTTGTTGATAGCGTTCCCATAAACGACCGATGGTACTCTGGTGAACATGGAGGTGAATTGAAATGACAGGTTGAAACTCCCCAGTCTCGAGACGTCCAATGGCAACGTTTCGATTTACAGCAGTGAGTCGCGGCATAGTGATATTCTTTCAGTTAGCTGAAAGTGCCAATGACCGTCTAAATGCAAATCGGCCTTATATAGGCAATGTCCCTGCTCACGGTTCCTCAGAACTGCACTTGCATATTGCGAACCGCGTTTCCTCCATGACATTTTCATGTAAGTTGACACTGTCGAACGTTAACGTGCATTAAATTTTCCGAAGATGCGTTTTTGCGCTGTCATCCGTTCCATGTATACAACCATACCCTAATTTTTAAAGTATATTTCATGTACTAATATCACCTCTGCGTTTCTTTCTTTGGGGAGAGTATGTGCAAACACTGTGAGTAAAGAGTATGTGACTGAAAACTAAGCATCATTATAAACGGCGTCCATAACGTCCATGCCATGTCGTAGCTTGACCTTTAGGATTGAACAACTTAGTTGGCAGTTTCTGACATAGATTGTGGCAATGATATCTGCCTAGCGACTATGGAAGATATTTTTTATTTGGTAATACATGAATTGTAAAATTGGTAGATTAAACACACCTTAAGAATTCCTTGAAAATGTCTGCCTCAATATCCGGGATGGTTACCTCCCCTTTTTCCGCCAGGGGGCCGCAGAACATGGCATGGAACACACAGCTGCGACTGACAAGAACGTAGCGGTGAGCTCGGACCACCTGTTCCCGTGACCCCACCCGGAAGGTGACGTCACTGAAGTCTTCGGTTTCGAGCATGCGCAGATTACACTGTGTAAGAGTCTTCCTTGCCTGCCAGTTGTCCACATACCCAGATTCTTGTCTTTTAACGGACATCGTGTAGTTCTGAACAGACAAAACGAAGATATATATATCACACCAAATATAAGTAGTACTTATATTTATAGCAGTACTACCAAGTAGTGTAAACATAATTTGAATTAAGAATAGAAATTCACATTTCATTGTTCTCTTTCAATTTTCAGGAATCCGTGTGTGTTATACTGAAAACTCAGAGATCTGCGTTATTTATTTTAATACTCAATACTCTCATAAGGGAACATATTTTAGAAGGCTTTGAAACATTTTTTATGCGTGAAGATAAATTAATGTTTTTGGACCATGTTGATCTTAAGATAATTGCCAATGTTTTAAGATTTCAACATCGTACATTGAATACCTTTTAAAGAATTGACGAGGGTCCAAAAAAGCCTCCAAAACGTGTCTTCAAACGACAAATGCAACTGCATTATTTAAAAACTTTTCCTTATAAACAAATGAGGTAGGTATAAGATGACAAAATAAATTTTATCATGGTAGCAGGAATTAAGGTCATATTCTCCGGAAAGTTCTTGGTGGGTTCGACTAGGCAGCGTTTCATGGGAGAAGCTTCTGAGATAGTCACCCGATGATTCATCATGGACACGGTCTTGGGCTAGAAGAAGTATCTTGTTCTGAATCCTGAAATTCACGGACAGACAGTGGAGGGCCTTCAGGATAGGTGTTAAATGCTCAGATCGCGCGTTACAACCCTTGCTGCATTCTGGAATCGCTGTAACTTTGTGAACAGAGATGGAGGAATAAGGAAGAAAAGAGAGTTATAATAATCCAGTCGTGAAGTTTTGTGGTTTCACAGTCAAGAAGATGTCGGATTTTACTGATGTTGTAAATGTGGAAGAAGCAAGCTCTTGCTCAAGTTCTTGACATGCTGGATTGAAATATGATTCCATAAGTTTTAGCAGATGGAGTGGTTCCGACATTGCTGTTGCCAATGTTAAGTGACAGACCCGCAGACACTTTCAAAAGCTGCTGTTTAGAACCAAGTAGTAGAAATTCCGTTTTAGTGTCATTTCATTTGATAAAAAATCACAGTCATCCAGGATATAACCTCGCTCACACAGGCTTCCAGTAGCGGTTTCAGATGGCTTTATAGATCTGTAGATTTGATTGTTGTCAGCATAGAGACGAAATATCAAGCCATGTTTCCTGATTATATCACCTGTTGGAAGGATAAATTTGCTGAAAAGCAAAGGCCCCAGAACTGAACCCTGTGGAACACCAACGTTAACTGTTCTCGGGAGTGAGGTCACGTCGCCAATCTTGACAACCTGAGTTCTGGCGGACAGATAGGATTTGATCCAAGAAAGAGTCTGTACTGTAAAACAGAGTCTTTCCTCCAAGCGAGAAAGCAGTATCGTGTGGTCTTGGGTGAGGATAAATCAAGAAGGACCAGCAGAGTGACATTCTGCTAGTCCATTGCCCTCATGACCTTGTTATGGACACGAGCAAGCGCAGTGTCAGTGCTATGTTTTGATTTGTAAGCACTCTGGAAGGGCTCAGGCTGGTCATTATTGAGTCGTTATTGAGTAGGTGTTCTTCGAGCCTTCGTGAAAGAATTTTCTCCAAACATCTTGAAATAAAGACAGAGTAGATACTGGCCGGTAGTTTTTCTTACCTCTCCGGATTTAAATTGGTCTTTTAAATGAGAGGAGTGACGACTGCCTGTTTGAAAACTTTGGGAACCGTGGCATCCCTCAATGAGCTGTTGACCATATTGGATAATGGACTGGTGAGAGAATCGAAGCTTGCTTTCAACAGCTATGTTGGTATGGCTTCAACGCTAAAAGTTGCTTTAGCTTTGGATATAACCTGTCTTATTTCTTCCGGACAGGTAAAGGAGACTTCAAACAAATATGTACCACTGAAACATTACTCATTGAAAGCCTGACACTGCAGAGTATGTCTAATGCCAAGTTCTTGATGTAGATCCCATGTCTTGACGTGGAAAAATATCTGCAAATCTATTGGCTAGAGTACAGTTTGTATCCCGCTTCAAGAGACTGTTCAACAAGGAATATAGTTCCATGAAATTGCTGCGTTCTATCGAGGTGCAAACAAATGCTCGTTTGGCTGCTGCTAAAGCTTTATTGGCATTATTCCTGGCAGTTTTGAACAGCTGGCGATGAAATTACCAATTTTGAACGACGCTATTGTTTTTTCAGCTTCATGGCATATCTGTTTTTTGCTTGCGGATGTCATCGTTATACCAGCCACAGCGAGGACGAATGACAACAGAACTAGACTTCAGAGGTGAAGTTTAACGTCGTGCTTGAGAATATTTCTCTCATATGACGACGTGCATGCGTGTGTATGTGTATGTGCGGCTGCTTGTACTAGCCCAGACTTAAGCTAGCCAACTGAGATACCATGCCACAGTGAAGTATGAACACCCCACTGAGACACATTATACTGACTCCGAGCCGAACAGTCCTTGTTGTACCCATTAATACCGAGCGCCAGGAAGGGACCAACAAGCACCATATTTTAACGTCTTTAGGTACGATGCGGCCGGGGATCGAATCCGGTACCTTCCGCTCGGGCGGACGCTCTAACCACTACACCACGGAGGCAGAGGCGGTGACTAGACTTCAGAGGAGCATGCTTATCGAATATTCGTGATAAGCAAATATTTATTATCCTCATCAACTCCGCAAGAATCAGAGAGTGACTGTAGCAGCTCAGAAGATTCAATGTCATAAGAACACTGTCTAATGTCTATATTTCAAGTCTTCCTGTAGCTAATTTCTTTTCTCACCTGCTTAGGTTCACTTTGCTTAGTTTGATAGAGCACTGAATAAGTGAATGATCACATAAATGTTTGTCACTAACGTCAACGACATCCAGAATATCACAACTATCCTTGGTTATGACTAGGTCTAGTGTATGGCCTGATAGATGAGTTGGACCAGACACGTGCTGTAGGAGATCGGAAGGTGCTAGCATGTCACAGAAAGATGTAGCAAAGGAGTCAGACGCGGAATCCGTATAAATATTGAAATCCCCCATTCGAACCAGATGACCTGGTTCAAGGGCACTTATAAGGGCTGAACTAATGTTCAGGAACACTTGCCACATGATTTTGGTCGCTTTTGCGAAGAAGACCCATTCCAGCTGCGTTAGTGGAGGTAGCAATCAATACCAATCTACTGTAAGTAATATACCACCTCATCATCGTAACTTATGTGATATTGAACAAACATTTCATTACCTAGCTCTTCACAGAACATTCCTGCATCATCGATTTATGTGTTTTGTTCACTTATTTTCAAAGAAATAAACTATGTGTCACAAAAATATGGTTTGGTTTCATTTTTCACGATGATCCTGCCAATGTTCCCATATGGGATATCACAATGAAATGTTTGATCTTTCTTAGTCACAACATTATGAGACTCTTCTGTAAATTTAAAGTGTTTCTGGGATCTAGTATCAGTATGATAAAGGTTATCTCTTGCCTTTCACCTCACATTACATCTGAAGTCACCTGACGTACAGCATTGTATGGGGTGATCAGTATACCCTGCCTATAGCCCTACCCAAATCGGGTTACTGTTGCTTAGGGGTGTCTTCATCGCAATTGTTTGTCATATCTGGATGTTGTTCTTTAATATAAAACGTTTCAAGGTTATAGTGTTTATGGTTCTGTTATTTGCGAGTTGAAAAATACCTATAGGCGTTTCTTTTGCCTATGAGGTTATGTGCTGATTATTAACCCTTGATACTCTATCGAGCCCTTACTTCCAGGATGGGCTACTGTCAGCTACTGTTATTTTCTATCATCACTGCTCTTGTATTATATCACCTTGGGAGTTTCTGATGTCACTCTGTTTTGTACTGCCATAGTGACACTCGTGCATTGATATGTAAACTTTTTTTTTCATTTTTTAATTCAGTATACCAGGGTTATAGTTGATACAGGGGCGATGGGGTAGCCTAATGGTTAAAGCGTTGGCTCGTCACGCTGAAGATCCGGGTTCGAATCCCCACATGGGCACAATGTGTGAAGCCCATTTCTGGTGTCCCCAGCCGTGATGTTGCTGGAATATTGCTAAAAGCGGCGTAAAACCAAACTCAGTCAGTCAGTATAGTTGATACAAGGTGGCTATATTCATGGACAGCTGTTTGTTTTAATTAAGAACAAGTTCATTTGCAAAGTTGCATTGTTATATTTGATAATATTACCAGTAGTAGTACTAGGAGAGGGTACTTCATGTTTGTGTCGTCAGTACTATAAACAAAAACCGAGGGTTTTACGCCATAGGGGATGCGACAACAAATTATAATCGCATGGCTGGAATGTTGTATTAATACAGCAGTGCATATACCTGATCCTTTGATAGTGCTTCTCCAATACAGCGTGAGAAAACATTCATAATGCAATAAATATTGCCCATGTCAGATAGCGGTATATCAATATCTATGAAAGGTTAATACCGTTGTGCCATCACCTGATACATCCATTAGTACTGTACGAGTACAAAGAGAAAAACAGTCACATTGCAATAAATATTGCACATGTCAAGGAGTGGTAGCAGGTATATCTGTGGTTATCAAAGTCAGTCAGTCTCTCTCTCTCTCTCTCTCTCTCTCTCTCTCTCTCTCTCTCTCTCTCTCTCTCTCTCTCTCTCTCTCTCTCTCTCTCTCTCTCTCTCTCTCTCTCTCTCTCTCTATCAGAGGTTAATACAGCACTATGGTTACCTGATGGATTTGCGGTTCTTTTCTAGTGCAGGAAAAGACAGAAAGTCACATTGTAATACATATCTCACATGACAAATGGTGGCAGTAAGTATGTCAATGTTTATGGTTAATGCAATAATACTGTTACATGGCACATTCATAGTACTTTCCAAGTACAGAGAGAAGAAAAGAGTCACATCGTAATAAATATCAAGTAGCAATACTACTAATAATGACATAAGTAAGAAAAACGCTTTGATAATCGCCGACCCGGAGGCCCAGCGCCGGTTGTTATTGTATCGGGCCGGCAGTTTCAAATATTTACAGGCCCTTGTGGCCTTCAGTAAATTATCTGTCTTTGTTCCCAAATGGAATCTTTCCCAATTTTTTTTATTAGCGTTCGGAAATTATCCATGATCTATCATGTCACGATAACTTACAGTTTCACTTCCTGGTATTTCAGCGCTAAAATAAAGCGCATAGGAATGTCAACACCCGTCTTTAACAAATGAAAACGTCTCCCTGTGCCTAGGCTTCGCTTATTGATTTTGTAGAAACGGTGCAAAACTGTGTTCAGTGTACGCTATTTTGTTTTTATTGGTTTGACTTTATCAAAATGGGCCTGTAGATTCTAAAGCCTTCAGGCGGCAGCAGGCCCTTATGGCCAACTGGCAAGTTAAAGTATTGTAAACACTGGTAGGTATCAGCGTTGTCGCGTCATAATGTCGCGTATTGCGCGTCACAGAATCTATGGGTACAACTGACTGTTACAATATCTATATTACAGTTAGATATATATAAACTCTTTCAAAAAAGAAACGCAACCCCTGTATTTTAGAGATTTTGATCTGAAGTTTTAGGACGACACGGCATTTTTATTATTTAAGACAGAAGTCTGAAATTTGGCAGAATAATAACCCAGATGGGCATGTTTAAAATTGTCATTTCAAAAGTCATCTCACAGACACCAGTTTGTCACCAGGGGGGCGTCTTTCTCAGTATCTCGTATGAGCACCACGCGCTGCAATCACTGCACGGCATCTCCTTGGACAAGAACGGATAAGACGCCGGATTCTTTCCTGGGAAATGGCTCTCCACACCTCCTGCAGTGCAACGGCGAGCTGTTGCAGCGTCTGTGGCGGCGGCTGACGTTGACGCGTACGCGTCGATCCAGAGTATCCCACAGGTGTTCAATAGGGTTGAGGTCTGGTGATTTAGAGGGTCAAGGCAAGACATTGACGTTGGAATTCTGCAGAAAGTTCATTGTTGCACGTGCAGTATGAGGCCGGGCGTTGTCCCGTTGAAAAATCTGTGTCTGTTGGTCAATAATCGGGAGAAGGTGAAGCTCTAACACGTGGTTGATGTAACGTTGGGCTGTCAGGTTCCCTGGAACGATCACCAAGTCTGATTTCTGGTTGTATGAGATGGTTCCCCAAACCATGACGCTTTCTCCGCCAAATCTGTCCACCTGTCGGACGCAGATGGGCGCAAAACGTTTATGACGTCTCCTATACAGACGCTGTCTTCCGTCGTGACGTTGCAAAAGAAAACGTGATTCATCAGAAAACCAGATTCGCCTCCAGTTTTGTAAAGTCCGTATCCTTACGTTGTTGCACCACCTGAGTCGTCGGCGTCGATGTAGGGGCGTAGTACAGGTCCAACAACTGGTCTACAGGCACGTAAACCCGCTTCTTTCAGACGGTTCCTAATCGTTTGAGCTGACACTCTCCTCAAACCTGGTATTTGTGTGGCAGTCACGGTTGGTAGGGCATGCCGATTACACAGGTGATGGACCCGGATGTACCGATCTTGAAGGGGGGTCGTGATTCTTGGCCTTCCACTTCTCGGGCGATCGTTGGTCAAATTGAAGTTGTTGTAGCGGCTCCAAAGTCGGGATATCGTTGTTTTGTGAACATTTAGGTGCCGTGCAACAGTTCCAAAACTTTCTCCGGCTTGAACACGACCAATGGCCATATTTCGGTCGGCAGCACTCAATCGTGGCATTTTAACACAGCTTTTCGGCGACAAATGAATGAATATAATACGGAAGCACATGGGCTTTATACACCCCTACATTAACTGCCATTTTCATGATTTGCATGTGTTTTTTTTGTGCGAAGTCACCATGAGGGTCATTTCATGCGTTGTGACGGAATAAGCAATAAAATACACTTATGCGTACAAATGCAGTTGTTTGGATGGTAATCTTCATTAATTACGTGTATCATTTCAATACATTCGAATAAAATTTAGTTTGGAAGCAATAACTTCATTCAAACGAATTTTTCATATCTGAGGACAGGGGTTGCGTTTCTTTTTTGACAGAGTTTATATTATTAGGGTGTGGTCATGTTATCAACATCCACATATCTGTCTAGTCTATGTACAATGTACACTAGACAAATCATCGCTCTGTACAGATGTACGTACAGTGTACAACTTACCTGAGCTGGTACAGATGGTTTGAACACAGAGAGGGCAAGAGCAACTTTCACCTGTCGGATACCTGTAATCCTAGTTTCGGTTTGACCCGACTTCCGTTTAATCAGTGTACTGTGCGTGTGTTGTGCCCTTAAACCAACAATGGTCTTAAGTGCACAGAAATCATGAATATTCATGAGTGGGCGGAGCTTATGTCACTACGTCACATACACGGCACAGTATCTTCCGCGGAACTAGAGTTGACCAATGCTTCTTCGTCTGTTATTGCCTTATACAATGTGACAGCTACAATATGCATGAGGTATATGTAGAGTGCCGTTTATTCAATATAATGTGCTGTATTGAAGTTTTGCGACGCAACTTCCCACGGTGAAGGAGATCAAGCGAGAACACACGTGCGCTTTATTTAATATCAAACGAAGGACAACTCTGTGACTTATGTATCTTTGACTCGAACGGTGTAGATACACACTTCCTGGTGTACACAGCAATCCCGCCACTGTATCTCCCCACGGAGTGAGTCCTCTTACAGGTGTATATACCATCAGGGTGTGGTCATGTTATCAACATCCACATATCTGTCAAGTCTATACCGCCACACACTGTACACTAGAAAAATCATCGTTCCGTAGAGATGTACAACTTACCTGAGCTGGTAAAGATGGTTTGAACACAGAGAGGGTGAGAGCAACTTTCACCTGTCGGATACCTGTAATCCTAGTTTCGGTATGACCCGACTTCCGTTTAATCAGTGTATTTTACGTGCGCTTTATTTACTATCAAACGGAGGATAACTCTGTGATTAACGTATGATAAGGCCAGATTAACACCCAACCCAACCCTCCCATATACGAAATTATTCAAAGGCATTTAGAAGTTGGTGTAGTAATACAAGACAAATCTTATGGATAACAACTTCTTGATTTATTTTTCACAACGTTTCTGGGAATAGTTCGTGCCCCTTCTTCAGGTGGATGATGGCGATGGTGAACAGTACAGTATATATATAGATGTACAGGAAGCTAGAAGACCAGCTACCGTCAGCTACCGTCAGTAGAATGTTGTTGTTTACGAAGGTCATCATCAAAACGCTACTGTCTCTGGTATTTAGAATGTGGGATGTACAAGCACATGGATAAGTACATCCTGTATTCTGTAGAACACCTGAGATGCAGCGCAGGCCAGGTGTCGGTTTCTTTGTAATACCTAATACTGGATTAAATCTTCTACTATCATCTAAATATATGTTGAGCAACAATGTTTCAACTGTTAAATAAAGCACTTGTACATGAAGTAAGGGCAAGGGGTGTGCTGTATTTAGACTAATACTGGAATGAATCATCTGGAAAACTAGATCGCAAATTCGTGTGGCAGACTATTTTTTGGTTGTGTCGAACCTCAGATAACTCGCGGACCACACAATATTGCTTGAGTGTTGTTTCATTTCCTTCTTACACTATATGAACTTACGTCTTAGAAGTCCTCATCTCTATCAAAGGTTAGCTGTGATATTTGTAGTTGTATATGTTTACCTTTCTAAACTGTCAGCTGAACGAGACTGACAAATAGACATCAATTCAAACATTGCATCTAATCTATCTCATGATTGTATCGTTTGACTCAGTCGAATTCGGAAAACGACAAATATTAGCTGGCATCTTTTGCTATTAGATGCTTGATTGGCATTTTAGAAGATGATATTTGATGAACATAGAGATTTTTTCTGGGTTACATCTTCTTTTTATTCTCGAGTACAACGTTTCAGGGCTTGTTCTGGCCCCATCATCAGGTAAACTGAACAGTAACTGTTAACTCTGGCCGTGACGTCACAATGCTTATGACGTCAAAATGCTATGACGACGCAATACATGTGGTGGTCAATAGATACAGATGACATGGCTAATAGAATACATGTTATTATGAATATATAAGATGTCATTTACTGCAAAATTAATGGATCAATTTAGAACTGTGCAGATACTTATACCAAATTATTGATTGAATTAGAAATGTACAGAGACGTATTTATAAATGTATAGAATGTAAAGTAATAGCAGTGTATACATAGAAATTATGCTTTATACATGGGAACAGTGACGAGGGTAGGGTATTGTCTTATTGTTTTATGTACCATGCATTTGGGAGGTAGACACCCTGGTCCCTGTTTATTGCTGGTTTTGTGCGTTTGATGAAGATAGCTTCAATCAACTTGCGTTTACGCCAGTCACTGATGTTTTTTGAGAGGACTTCAGTTTCCCAGTCAACTTCATGATCGGGATTATTCATAATGTGTTCAGAAACTGCAGATTTCAGATCTGATTTGTCCACTGAAGTTTTGTGTTCTTTCACACGTGTAGCTACTGGTCTGCCTGTCTCACCAATGTAGATATCACCACAGTCACATTTTTTTGTCAACATCTGCAAACAATAGAATGCTCTGGGTTCCTTTCCATCAAAAGCAAGACATTTTCAGAAATTAAAACCGTAAAGTGTTCAAGTTAATGTTTGAGAGGTGTATCAGAATATTCAGCATCGATCTACGTAGTCATAAGGATACGGTGACACCTGTTTCTGCAAGGCGTACTACAGGTACAGCATGACCTGTTTATCCTGGTGTCACAAACACCTGGTGTCATCTCTGATTTTCAGTGATCCGCTCTCTTAAGTTTCATCCCTGTTGACTTATATTGTGCTTTTCCAAGTGAAATTGTTACAATGTATATCATTTATATGTTGAATATTTCAATATACTTGTACCTACTGTGTTAATATGTGTAGTTTATAGAATATTGCCAATATTCCCTCATGGAATGCTGTGCAATATATTATCCTGTATGGAGTGGTATTCAGATAAGCAACATACTGCTTGTTTACCAATCCGGTTCCATGTTTGAAAAATATATGGTTAAAACAAATATCTTATCTCACCCTATCTTGACCGATGGTTCTCCTTGATCAGGTACGAGGGTCGGTCAAAATGTTGTCGGCCTAACTATTTTCTCGATGTCCAATCTTTGAAAAGATTCCATAATATTTTGAAGGAATCATTAGCAAAGCAATATCCAAAATTTCACATATGTGGGTAATGGTTAACGAGATATTAGTCATCACAACACATTGGGGTGTAATATTTCTAAACAAAATGGTAGATAATGGAGATAGTATCACATACAATATGTTCAGTATAGTATTGGATGACTTCCCGTCGTAATCAACAGTCACAGTTGTGGATTGCCTGATATAACATTTAGACGGAGGCTGTTTTTTAAGGACACCCGTATTTTAGTCTTTCAAAAACACTGTGTCCAGATATTCAAGCTGGCACTGTTTACAATATATTGTGAGCTGACACTTGTGTGACCTTTCAGTATTTTGTTTGAACCATTGGCATCATGCATGAATAAGAGAAACATTAGAATAAGTTATGTCCTTATGATTACGTCATACGAAATGGGTTGGGTAGTGTCACCAAAACAAGCCCTTTCAGTAAACATGAAGGGGGGGAGAGAGAGAGAGAGAGAGAGAGAGAGAGAGAGAGAGAGAGAGAGAGAGAGAGAGAGAGAGAGAGAGAGAGAGAGAGAGAGAGAGAGAGAGAGAGAGAGAGAGAGAGAGAGAGAGAGAGAGAGAGACTGACTGACTTTGATAATCATTGATATACCTGCTACCACTCCTTGACATTTGCAATATTTATTGCAATGTGACTGTTTTTCTCTTTGTACTCGTACAGTACTATGGGTGTATCAGGTGATGGCACAACGGTATTAACCTTTCATAGATATTGATATACCAATATCTGACATGTGCAATATTTATTGCATTGTGAATGTTTTCTCACGTTGTATTGGAGAAGCACTATCAAAGGATCAGGTATATGCACTGCTATATTAATACAACATTCCAGCCATGCGATTATAATTTGTTGTCGCATCCCTTTGGCGTAAAACCCTCGGTTTATGTTTATAGTACTGACGACACAAACATGAAGTACCCTCTCCTAGTACTACTACTGGTAATATTAGAGAGAGAGAGAGAGAGAGAGAGAGAGAGAGAGAGAGAGAGAGAGAGAGAGAGAGAGAGAGAGAGAGAGAGAGAGAGAAGAGAGAGAGAGAGAGAGAGAGAGAGAGAGAGAGAGAGACCCTCGTAGAGAGAGAGAGAGAGACTTGAGAGAGAGTCTTTGGCGTTGATTGTTTCGTAAATCTCAGTAAGTCTTCCGCATTCCGCATACATTAACGCAATTCTCCCAAGGGAACCTTTCTCATGATGCCGATTTAGGCAAAGGACGTAGACAACGAGTATAAGATCTGTGTCGGGATCGAAACAGGCATTTTGTGTGCCCATCACACATTACACAAATACAAGAGAACATGACAGAAAGAAACACAAATATAAGTGGCCACAGCAGCAACAACAACAGCAACAACAACAGTATTTATTGTTAATATTTGAGAGAAAAACGCTTTATTCAGTAAAAGCTGACTGTAGCCCTTGTTTACAATGTATTTAACAAGTTCATGTTACATGGTGCACTAGTTACTATATTAGACATTGAGTTAAGACCGGAAGTGTGTGGACCAACCGGAAGTTTCCAGCGTTGACCGACCCAGCGAGTAAGCAAAAGTTCCAGGACAGAAACTCTTGAACCTTCTTCCGTAGATCATTAGTCATATCCCACTACACGATATTCCCAGCCAAGATTTAATTTTGAAGGTTGGCCATTGTAGCAGTTAGGTGATTATTATCATCACCGTCTTTGTTCCTATCACCACTTCTTCTATTGCCCTTGTATTTGTACATGTCGTAACTGGCGATTGGGCTTCAGTAAACCCTACCCCAGTTACCTATTAATTATGGTCGTTCCACATTTTCCTGGGGATGGTAGCCTGGCGCTCCACTCGCTTAGTCCGTTGCAGGATGCTAAGTCAATGAGTGAGGGTCGGACGACCTAGACTCCTAACTCACCACATTGCATTCATGTACTGGCACACATACATTCATAGATAAACGCAACACCAAGTTATACTCACATAGTTTTACTCTGTCTCAGTACATCTATAACTACAACTTCATCAGCAAACAGGGTAGGCTCGTACCACACGGGGCAACTGAGTGGCGTGGATTGGCTTCCGTCACATAAAAGCGTGCACCCCTCGCTCAGTGCCAAACCTATCTTTTTATATGGTTCGAGCCTGGCCTGATCCTGATCACCTGTTTCAACCCATCGCTTTGATTCGTTAATCCTATATCCGTCCCAGTTCTCATGAATATTATGATTGGAAAATTATCGGTAAGTACAGTTCGGTAACTCTCCCCTTTTTATTGATCTGTTATTGTGTTCTGTCACAAGCGACGTATATATTTCTTACGACTAAACGCCATTCTCTTTAGACTTTGTCTCCCAACACTGTCTAGCCGTTATCAATCATGAGCCATACTGCAAATCTATAGGCGGAGTCTGATGTACTTCTCTTACTGATTTAGGGATGCATTTTTTACCTTATTACATCCTCCGCCTGTGGACAAGAGCTGCCCACAGCTCGGGTAAAGTAAACATGAGGGACGGTCGGATATGTCTAAACTTAAACACAACATACACCATCGAAGCAAAATAGGATCGATAATTTCTGATAAGAAGTGACCAGTCATGTCAAACCTTCGAAAGACGTTGGAAAATTGTAGATATGGTACACGAAACGAATATTATGCCAAAGAATAAAAGAGTAACCCTATGTTACTTCGGGTAACTACAAAGCATATACATCATACATCATACATCATATTATAAGATGAAAACACAACACTCAATTAAAATCAATACGAAATGTTAAAATGTCACTGATATGGCCAAATATGGCACCACCATTCATAAAAAAGTTCATCTGTCCATCGAATTAACTGGCACATGTCTACTGAAAGAGTTATGTTCCGATTGTCATTCATTATGCACTGAACACAATACACTGTGTGCGAGGCCACAACAATTTCCAAACACTAAGGCCTGATCGGATCGCACAGCATAGTTCTTGGCTTATGCATCAAAGTGAAGAGACGAAATGTTCTGCACACTGCGAATGTGAGTCACTTGGCTTTCGCTAAGATGAACCCTGATGCTTTCGCAACTGGTAGGCGGGGAACATCGTAGAGGTTTGCAGTATTGATCGCCAATGAGGAGCCTTCGTGAGCGGCGTGATGGTCAGCGTCCCAACCCGTGTGAGAGCGTTCGCCGGTAACAGTAAGTGTGAAGCCAGATTATTGATGTTGCGTGGACCAAACGACAGCGGGGAGGAGCTTATCTGTTCTCCCGTCCGAATGGGGTCCAGCCATCAATCTACAACACTTGAAACGAGTGTTAAACCCAATTATTTTCGTGGTGGTTTAACACTCGTTGGATACGACATCAATACATGGTAAAACATGACACGCTGAAATAAGTGTCAACCTGTGTACAGATCACAGTAGACAATATCAACATTCGTGACGGTTGATTTCGTGCCGAATAACAACTGGAGTCCCATATATAACATGATTAGTCTCCGATACCTGGCATCAATAAATAGGAATAAAATGTTATTTTAACCCTGTAATACATACAAGAGGGTAAGAACATCTAACTTACACAACATTCAGTAAATGCTTTGCAGTTAAAAAGGCAAGAACGAACGACATTTATAAATATGTGATGGACTGAGAGCATACATTGAAACACGGTTTTAAATCGACTATAGAACACGAATTCTGTTTGTTTTCCTTGGGTATACATGGATACGTGAACAGGTATATAAATATAGGTACAGTTGAAAACACTGACTTAACTTTACAGAAGTAAGAAAATCACATTAGTGAAATGAAAACGGGAAACCGTTAGTATCCGCAACCCGAGAATAATATTCGGGTAATACATCCGATTGGTGAGAAGAAATGAAGAAAGACAATAGACTTGCAAGAAGATATTCAGTCCAGCTTTAAGGAGGCAGTAATATTTAATTTTGGCCTTTCACAATCTGGAGGAAGAATCATCAGGCCAATATAGTCGCGACGTAGAGGCGTGTGGGCGGGCTACTGGTATTGTCTCAGAAAAGTGATACAATATTGTCATACGAATGAGCATTAAGATGGAATTGAATATTCCTTTTAAGATGACCATAAAAATTCTTCCATAGTGTCTGAAAGGAGACAGTCTAACATTATGGACATGTGACTCAATCGGTTTGAATCCACTTTGAAAAAAGTGGTACCAAAGACATGACAGATGAATGGTAACAATAATCATAAAATGGGTAAGTGGATATCCCATCTGTTTAGGGTTTAATTAACCGGTAATGGAAAAGCAACCCCACAATGCTGTAAAACCATAAAAAAACACCTGTAGTAGTGGGGAGGAATCGCTTTAACTGCCACGCCTTTAAACAACTGATAGCAATCTTACATAAATAGATTGTGTCGGGGTGTGGAATGAGCAAGTTAGGGACTATCGAATAACAAGTAATGAGTAAAGAAAACATGTTGAATACGAAAATTGGTTAAAGGGTTTGCAGAAGACAACATAAGGTCACGGGGACAGAGATACAATTGTGAGAGAATAATATCATGGCAAGCAAAGGAATTCGTTAAATGTAAAACTAAGGACGTAGCTTCGATTATACTTCTTGACTCTTCGAAAATAAATAAAACACCAGAAATAATGCCGATTTGATGAGGAAAACATCCATTGAAATAGTTGATTTAATCAAAGACATAAAACATGGTTTGGGATAATTCTGAGGGGTGGTTGTCTGGTATGCTTTCCAGTCTGTCAAACCATTAGTTGGAGAACCTGCTGTAAGTAAGGTTAAAGCAAAAAATAAGCGTCGAACTTTCAACCATAAATACAAAACCATTATTAATAAAAAGAGGGACAAACATGCGGCAAAACTAGCCGTTAAATGATAAGGGTTGCTGAACGACTGATCCAAAGCAGAGGATGGAAGGGAATCCATCCACTTATTTTCAATTAAATTATCCGAAATCACTTGTGCCTTTTTCATACGCTGGGAAATAAGGCGTAAATCAACTTGAAACTTTTTGTCTTGTTTCCGAATGTTATCGAAAACTTTATCCTCGATTAATAAATGAGGAATTTTGAAAGCAGAATCTTCTAAAAGAGGCTGTAAAGTTTGGAAAGGTTTCAGTACGGACGAATTGAAAAATTCCGATAAGAGTAGAAGATGTGAATCGTTTCCACGAGGCATTACAATTCCAAATACCCTAAGAAAAAAACAGCAGATAACATATCTGAGACGAGAAAAGGGAACCTACCGTCGTCAAACGTCAACGCAAGTGAATGAAAGGGTAGGAACGACCATAAGAAAAATAGCAATGGGGATCGTCTTAAACATTTTATTCAAGAAAATCCGCAATCTCTACCATGTCGTAACTGGCGTTTGGGCTTCAGTGAACCCTACCCCAGTTACCTATTAATTATGGTCGTTCCACATTGCTCGGGGAGATGGTAGCTCTGGCGCTCCACTCGCTCGGTCCGTTGCCGGATGCTAAGTCAAGGAGTGAGGGGTCGGACGACCGTGACTCTCAACTAGCCACATATACATTCATGTACTGGCACACATACATTCATAGATAAACGCAACACCAAGTTTATACTCACATAGTTTTTACTCTGTCTCAGTCCATCTCTAACTACAACTTCATCAACAGACAGGATAGGCTCGTACCGCACGGGAAACTGAGTGGCGTGTACTGGCTTCCGTCACTTAAAAGCGCCCACCCCTCGCTCAGTGCCAAACCTATCATTTTATATGGTTCGAGCCTGGCCTGATCCTGATCACCTGTTTCAACCCATCGTTTTGATTCGTTAATCCTATATCCGTCCCAGTTCTCATGAATATTATGATTGGAAAACTATCGGTACATACAGTTCGGTAACTCCCCCAATATTTATTGATCTATTATTGGGTTCTGTCTCAAGCGACGTATATATTTCTAACTTACGACTAAACGCCATTCTCTTAGACTTTGTCTCCTCCCAGCGTCTAGACGTTATCAATCATGAGCCAAACTGCAACTCTACACGGGGTCCGATGTAATTCTCTTACTGATTTAGGGATGCATTTTTTACCTTATAACATTAGGTTGTTTTGTCGTGTGACGACAGCTGTCATCGATATACATTTTACCACATGAGGTACAAATTCAAATTAAAGTGATGGTGTGGTCAGTGTGACCTATTTGGGTTGATGTATTCAGATAATAGAGGTGCTTGTACCACACGAGGTACCCATGCAGATCTGATGGATGTTGTGGTCAGCGTCACCCATTTGGTAGATATATTCATCGCCAGCCCACATGCTACTTTAATGTTGGGATACTGAATATGAAGCCAGGTATGTTTCCTGTCAGGGCTGTTGTCTCTGTAAAGTACTTCCTGGCGTCTGAAAACGTAAACTGAACCCCATCAGAGGTTACAGTCTGCTTTCCATTTAACCCATTGTAGCCTATGTGTTTCTTTTGACTCCAGTAACCCCACAGCTCCAAGAAACCCCTTGGCCTCCTGGGAAACGAATCCCTGAAACCTATTGCCACCAAGAGAGTGTATGTGCTGCCTGGCTGCAGTAGTACCGGCTGAGAGAACAAGATGTCTGTCATCTGCCCACGCCCGAGAAGCTGCACGTCGGTCTGCAGTCGTTCAATTATATCTGCGCCATCGTTGTCAAGCAGTGTAATACCAACTGGAAGTTCCATGTTATCATATCCCCCATACAGCTGAAAACCTTTCAGATTAATCCTGTGATTGACAGAAAACGAGAGAGCATGACCTCCTGCCCGATTACATTTGGCACGTAACACAGTTGCAAATCTCTGGACGTATTTACAAGCATCACCCTTTATAACTACAAATGGGGAAATGTCAACAGTAGGGTCAAAAGCTCTGTCCATAATTCTAACTCTCTCCTCCGCTGTCAGTAATCCAGATGAGCCCACAACCTTAGTCAGATACTCCTGAGATAGGCTAGTGAACGGGATCTCATACCTCAAGTCACCCAAGAGTCTCTGTCTGTTCTCAGGTGTGTCACTCACACCTTCCTTCCGGCATCTTTCCTTTGTCCAGGACAGAACTGCTTCAAATACATCTTCCTCTTTCATGTTCAGCGTGTCCGATTTGAGGAGCTTCCCCAGACAATCAGAACAAAGACCCACAAACCCTGGAGACTTGGTGACTCTCTCCCCTCCTTCAGTCAAGATCTTCAGGGCCTTCTGTTCCAAGTCCAGCTCCCCGTAACGATGACACTGCTCCAGGATCTGGCAGACATTGTCTTCTGACAGGGACACCTCCAGGAAAGTTACACAGAGATCGTACAATGCATCAAGAGAATATTTATTGGATGTGTACATTAGTGCTGTGACTGTTTCAGCGTTGATTCGGACCTCGTCTGTGTATATATACCTACAATAAATCATAATGGTTCATTTGGAGACAAACTTGCTCTTGCGAACATTACTTTTTTAACATTACTTCTCATGAATATTGCATGTCATATCGGGGAGGATATGAGTGATAAAGATGGAGGGGTAATGGAATGTTTCTGTATTTTCAGCAACACATTCTTCAATACTTCCAGCTTAGCTATGGGTGATATTAGTAGATACTTTGTCCCATGATTTGTGGTACACTGATCTTCATCGTGATATTTAACAGTTTTGCAATCAAACAAAACAAACGAACATATATATCTACTAAGTTATAAACTATGCTCTCCCTAAATAAGAAACGCCTAGGTGTATTTTCACGAATTGTATCTGCTAACTTTATCAAATTAGGTAACACATGTAATTGTGGATCAATTTCACGGTATAAATGATAAAATGCCTGTTAAATTGTATTGCTTATGAAAAGTCAACGAAGTGAAGGCGTCCGTTCCCAGTTGGGCGATGTTTTCAATATTGATTGTAACCACCATGAGCCTCCAAAACTTTTCTGATCCGTCTTGGCTTGGACTGAATAAGTCTTTGAATTCGACCTTGTGGAAAGCTGGCCCATTCCTCTTGCAATGCCAGCTAAAGTTGACCTAACGTCTGGGGCGCTGACGTTCACGTACGCGTGGACAGCGGCATGTGCTGTGTGAGGCCTGTCATTATCTTGCTGGATCAACTCCCTCTGGCGGTCAATGATCGGGACCAAGTGAATTCTTAAGATTTCGTCTCTGTACCGAACTGAAGGCGCACGAAGTAAGATTTCTCTGTGTATGATATGAAGGTATATTTCACGTACTAATATCACCTCTGCGTTTCTTTTTTGGGGAGAGTATGTGTAAAGACTGAAAACTAAACGTCATTATAACGGCGTTCATAACATCCATGCCATGTCGTAGCTTGATCTTTAGGATTGAACAACTTCGTTGGCAGTTTTCGACATAGATTGTGACAATGATATCTGCCCAGCGACTATGGAAGGTATTTTATATTTGGTAAAACATGAATTGTAAAATTGGTAGATTAAACACACCTTAAGAATTCCTTGAAGATGTCAGCCTCAATATCAGTGATGGTTACCTCCCCTTTTCCCGCCAGGAGGCCACAGAACATGGCATGGAACACACAGCTGCGACTGACAAGAACATAGCGGTGAGCTCGGACCACCTGTTCCCGTGACCCCACCCGGAAGGTGACGTCACTGAAGTCTTCGGTTTCGAGCATGCGCAGATTACACTGTGTAAGAGTCTTCCTTGCCTGCCAGTTGTCCACATACCCAGATTCTTGTCTTTTAACGGACATCGTGTAGTTCTGTACAGACAAAACGAGAATATATATATCACATCAAATAGTGTAAACATAATTCGAATTAAGAATAGAAATTCACATTCATTGTTCTCTTTCAATTTTCAGGAATCCGTGTGTGTTATATTGAAAACTCAGAGATCCGCGTTGTTTATTTAAATACTCAATACTCTCATATGTGAACATATTTGAGAAGGCTTTGAAACTTCTTTATGCGTGAAGATAAATTAATGTTTTTTGGACCATGTTGATCTTAAGATAATTGCCAATGTTTTAACATTTCAACATAGTACTTTGAACACTTTTTAAAGAATTGACGAGGGCCCAAAAATGCCAAAAAACGTGTTTTCAAACGACAAATGCAACTGCATTATTTTAAAACTGTTTTCACATGTCCTTATAAACAAATGATGTAGGTATAAGATGACAAAAGAAATGTTATCATGGTAGCAGGAATTAAGGTCAAAATTTTGAATTGAAGTGAAATGTTCCCATATGGGAACATTGGCAGGATCATCGTTAAAATCAATATATTCACATAAACTACATTAATAGATAAGAAAAACAACGAATGATCTGTTCAATTCTTTATTTCGAATGATATACCTTGTCCTTTTTGATAAAACCAATGAATCTATTTATGTTATTGAATTTTCTGTCCCTTTTGGGGCGGTGGGGTAGTCTAGTGGTTAAAGCGTTGGCTCGTCACGCCGAAGACCCGGGTTCGAATCCCCACATGGGTACAATAAGTGAAGCCCATTTCTGGTGTCCCCCGTCGTGATATTGCTGGAATATTGCTAAAAGCGGCGTAAAACCAAACTCAGTCAGTCAGTTCTGTCCCTTTTGACAGAAATGTGATTGGCAAGATTCAGGAAAGCATGCTAAATATGCAGACCTCGCCTTTGAAATGTTTAGCTTGCCTCCCAAGTACACTGTCGTCAGACTCCCCATTGCTCTCGGTGCACATCGTTTGGTACCCGGGTTCTCCACCGGGAGCACAACCCCCTCTGATACTCTGGAAAATGCAGAGGACTGCAGTGCTGGGGAGTCTACATATTCTCCGGAAAGTTCTTGGTGGGTTCGACTAGGCAGCGTTTCATGGGAGAAGCTTCTGAGATAGTCACCCGACGATTCATCATTGACACAGTCTTGGGCTAGAAGAAGTATCTTGTTCTGAATCCTGAAATTCACAGCCAGCCAGCAGAGTGACATTCTGCTGGTCCATTGCCCTCGTGGCGTTGTTATGGACACGAGCAAGTGCAGCGTCTGTGCTATGTTTTGATTTGTAAGCACTCTGGAAGGGTTCAGGCAGGTCATTATTGGGTCGTTATTGAATAGGTGTTCTTCAAGCCTTTGTGAAATTTTTTTTTCCAAACATTTTGAAATGAAAGACAGATTAGATACTGGCCGGTAGTTTTTCTTAGCTCATCCGGATTCAAATTGGCCTTTTTAATGAGAGGAGTGACGACTGCCTGTTTGACAACTTTGGGAACCCGTGGCATCCCTCAATGAGCTGTTGACCATATTTGATAATGGACTGGTGAGAGAATCGAAGCTTGCTTTCAACAGCCATGTTGGTATGGCTTCAACGCTAAAAGTTGTTTTAGCTTTGGATATGACCTGTCTTATTTCTTCCGGATAGGTAAAGGAGACTTCAAACAAATATGTACCACTGAAACATTGTTCATTGAAAGCCTGACACTGCAGAGTATGTCTAATGCCAAGTTCTTGACGAAGATCCCATGTCTAGGCGTGGAAAAAAAATCTGCAAATCTGTTGGCTAGAGTACAGTTTGTATCCCGCTTCAAGAGACTGTTCAAGGAATATAATTCCATGAAATTGTTGCGTTCTATCAAGGTACATACAGATGCTCGTTTGGCTGCTGCTAAAGCTTTATTGACATTATTCCTGGCAGTTTTGAAGAGTTGGCGATGATTTTCCAATTTGGAACGACGCCATTGTTTTTCAGCTTCATTGCATATCTGTTTCTGCTTGCGGATGGCATCGTTATACCAGCTTCAGCGAGGGCGAATGACAACAGAACTAGACTTCAGAGGTGAAGTGAAACTGGGTTTAACGTCGTGCTTGAGAATATTTCGCTCATATGACGACGTGCATGCATGTGTATGTGTATGCGAGGCTTCTTGAACTAGCCCAGACTGAAGCTGGTTTTATAGTGCTAGCCCACTGAGATACCATGCCGCAGTGAAGCAGGAATACCCCACTCAGACACATTATACTGACTCCGAGCCGACTAGCCCTTGTTGTACCCATTAATTCCGAGAGCCAGGCAGGGACCAACAAGTATCATATTTTAACGTCTTTTGGTATGAAGCGGCCGGGGATCGAATCCGCGACCTTCCGCTCGGGCGGACGCTCTAACCACTACACCACGGAGGCAGAGGCCGTCACTAGACTTCAGAGGAGCATGCTTATCCAATATTCGTGATAAGCAAATATTTATTATCCTCATCAACTCCGCAAGATTCAGAGAGTGACTGTAGCAGCTCAGAAGATTCAATATCATTAGAACACTGTCTAATGTCTTTATTTTAAGTCTTCCTGTAGCTAACTTCTTTTCTCACTTGCTTAGGTTCACTTTGCTTAGTTTGACAGAGCACTGAATAAGTGAATGATCACATAAATGTTTGTCACTAACATCAACGACATCCAGAATATCACTATCCTTGGTTATGATTAGTCCTAGTGTATGACCTGATAGATGAGTTGGACATGTCACAGAAAGATTTAGCAAAGGAGTCAGACGCGGAATCCGTATGAATATTGAAATCCCCCATTCGAACCAGATGACCTGGTTCAAGGGCACTTATGTTCTTATGTACTAATGTTCAGGCACACTTGCCACATGATTTTGGTCGCTTTTGCGAAGAAAACCCATTCCAGCTGCGTTAGAGGAGGTAGCAATCAATACCAATCTACTGCAAGTTATATACCACCTCATCATCGTAATTTAAGTGATATTGAACAAACATTTCATTACCTAGCTCTTCACGGAACATTCCTGCCTCATCGATCTATGTGTTAAAGTGCGTTTTGTTCACTAAATTTCAAAGAAATAAAATATGTGTCACAAAAAAATAGTTTTGTTTCATTTTTCACGATGATCCTGCCAATGTTCCCATATGGGATATCACTATGAAATCTTGGATCTTTCTTAGTCACACCATTATGAGACTCATCTGTAAATTTAAAGTGTTTCTGACAATGTGATCTCGTATCAGTATGATAAAGGTTATCTCTTGCCTCTCACCTCACATTACATCTGAAGTCACCTGACCTACAGCATTGTATGGGATGATCAGTATACCCTGCCTATAACCCTGCCCAAGTCGGGCTACTGTTGCTTAGGGGTGTCTTCATTGCAATTGTTGGTCATATCTGGATGTTACTTCTTTAATATAAAACGTTACAAGGTAATATTGTGTATGGTTCTGTTATTTGCGAGTTGACAAATACCTATAGGCGTTTCATTTGCCTCTGAGTTTATATGCTGATCATTAACCCTTGATACTCTATCGAGCCCTTACTTCCAGGATGGGCTACTGTCAACTACTATTAGTTTCTATCATCACTGCTCTTGTATTATATCACCTTTGAAGTTTCTGCTGTCACTCTATTTTGTACTGCCATAGTGACACTCTTGCATTGATATGTATCCTTTTTTTCATTTGTTATTTCAATATACTGGGGTTACAGTTGATACAAGGTGGCTATAGTCATGGAGAGCTGTTTGTTTTAATAAAGAACAAGTTCATTTACAAAGTTGCATTGTTATATTTGATAATATTACCAGTAGTAGTACTAGGAAAGAGTACTTCATGTTTGTGTCGTCAGTACTATACACAAAAACCGAGGCTTTTTAGGTCATAGGGGATGTGACAACAAATTATAATCGCATGGCTGGAATGTTGTATTAATACAGCAGTGCATTTACCTGGTCCTTTTATAGTGCTTCTCCAATACAGCGTGAGAAAACATTCATAATACAATAAATATTGCACATGTCAGATAGTGGTATATCAATATCTATGAAAGGTTAATACCGTTGTGCCATCACCTGATACATCCATAGTACTGTACGAGTACAAAGAGAAAAACAGTCACATTGCAATAATAATTGCACATGTCAAATATTTACAGGCCCTTGTGGCCTTCAGTAAATAGACCGATCCAGTCCCGGCCGATAAGCCCCGCCCACTTCGTTTTTGACGTTAGGATTTCCAATTCTAACACTATTGTGACTTTACCCGCTGGATTAAAGCAGAAAACCTTGCACAGTGCTAGGGAACATCGTGATAAAGCATATTTTTGGGGTGTGCTCGAATGTTTGGGCCTATTTTCCCCAAATCCAAGATGGCCGCCAAAAATCAAAGAGTGCTGAAGTCCACCCAGAATGGTTGCCGACTATAAAAAAATATTCATTTGTTGCAATATGTGAGATATATTCGCCGTTCAAATGGCTATTCTAATACTAGAAATATAACAAACACGATTCATGTGTAGTAGTAAAATATATAATTAATCATCCAATTAATGAAAAGTTACTGGTTTGATCAGTCACGTGACATCAATTTGTCAAACATCGATCTCTGTGATTCTGAAGTCTCCTTTAACAGTTCCCGTTGAAGTTACAGAGCGATGTGCACAGAAATGGAGAAGATTTACAAATGCTCTTCTTTGAGCATAGAGGTTGAGACTTGCAGCCACATTTGATAATGTTGTTGATAATGGTACCAGCGAAAAACCTATTTCAATAGACACTATTTCAAGCTCTTCCAAACCTACACTTCCAGGACGTTGTATAATTCCTGCAGTAGCCTGCAATGTGGAGAGAGTTAATGTGCCTATAACTCATAATCAAGTCGAAGACAAGATCACCAAAGCTAAGAAGAATCTTGGATCAAGCACTGCATTGGCCTTCTCGCTGAAGAACATATGGAAAGGATGAGTTGCCTGGTGCATTTCATGCTTCTCGA